TAGAAATTTTAGGTCTACGTTATGTAGTTTGACTATTGTCAATTAAATCGAATGCTTTGTATTGCATGCGCTCCACGTTTTTCATTTTCAATTTCATAGATTGTTTATAATGACTTTTGCTAAAATTTCAAAATCAAAAGTTATCAAAATAAATTCTATGGGACTGAGAAATATTATTTTTTACTTTTTAGTCCATTTATAAAAGCGTTGTATATTAAAAAGTTTTTTTTATATTATTTATTTTTCTTTTGTTTGTTTAATGTTTATTATTTTTTATAAAAATACAGTGCACTATCAACAAAAACCATATACATACTATCCTGCTCACTTTTAGTTCATACCTTTTGAAATTTGTATGTCTGCTTCAAGATTGTATGAACTAAAAGTGTGAAATTCGGACTTATATGGGGATTGTTAAATGAACTGTATTTTTATAAAAAAATATAAAAAAACATTAAACAATCAAAAGAAGAATTGCTAAAACTGGTCCCTTTTTTCACACGACTATAGTTCTTGCAAGTATATAAAAATCTTCATATAAATATTAGTGTTGGGCGGTATCGATACCAAAAATACTCAGAACTGGATTCTCAAAAGGATCGACAGTACCCGATTTTTAAAAGTATCGATACTTAGTACTCAAAAGTACTGAGTTCTATTTACATTTACCGGTATTCAGAAATTATTGTACCTACTCAATTTCAAGTATCAATGGACGTAATTTGGGATTAATAATAATAACAGATTGGCGCTTACACATATGTTAGTGTTTGGCCGAGCCTCTTCTCCGGTTTGTGGCGTGCGCCTTGATGTTGTTACACAAAGTGAAGGGACCTACAGTTTTACGCCGAGAAGCTGTGTTCATGGCAGAAATACATTCGGAGGTTTGCCATTGCCTGCCGAGGGGCGTCCGCTGTTAAGAAACAACTTTTTTTTTCTGAAATTTTTGCGAGGTTGCTTTTACCAGGGCTTGAACCCAAGCGCTGCGGAGTGGAAGCGCGCACTGCTTACCACTACCCACAGCGGCCGCCGCTTAATTAACACATAATCCTTTAATATGAAAGGAAAAAATAAATGCGCTTGTAGCATTACGAAATGCCTAGAAAGTAACTTCACAGTAATATTGTTGCTATCCAAACTTTAGTTGAAAGTTAAACAGTAAGCTTACGATTTTATTTTGGTTAAAAATACACATATTTGAAAAATACGTGACTACCGGAAAATCTAACTCACGCACGTTCACGCCGGCAAAAATTTCAGTCACGCACGATAGCGCACGTGATTTTCACTCAAAACCGCCTACGTTCAAGAGTGAAATAGCGTGACACGATGTGTCTTAAAAGGAACTTTAACCTCTCTGAAGTTGGCAGGACAACTTTTTCTCAAAGCAAAAATTCCTATCGGATAATTTGCCGTGAAAAGAATAATTTTGCCGCGGACATATTTTAAAAAATATCGCGTGCCCTGCTAACTTCCACGAAAGTTAGCAGGGCACCTTCTGAAAACCAATTAAGGAAACCAGCTAAACCTAAACTAACTATCTGATAATTTGCCGTAAATTATCCGTTGTTTATCCGTGAAAAGAATTATCTTGCCGCGGACACATTTTAAAAAATATCGCGTGCCCTGCTAACTTCCACCTTCTGAAAACCGATATTTTTTAAAATATGTCCGCGGCAAAATTATTCTTTTCACGGATAATTAACGGCAAATTATCCGATAGGAATTTTTGTTTTGAGAAAAAGTTGTCCTTCCAACTTCAGAGAGGTGGAACTTTAGGCAGTGTTGCTGCTTGCGAGAATCGTATAAAAAGGGTTCGGTTGAAAATTGGACTCGTTTTGGTTTAAACAGATAAGCAAATTTAAAAAAGAGATTAAAGGATAATTCACGGCACCTAGTAATAAAGTACTTAGTAGGATTTTCGACACTTACATTCCGACTTTTATTTTAATGCGTATTGGTCGCAGGGGGTTCTAATTCCTTTTCGCAAATTTATTATAAAAATATAGTACAGACTGCAACAAAAGACATACAAATAAAATCTCTAAACTTTGCGCAAAATCAGAAAAATTCAATAAATTTGCGTACTAGTTTGCAACTTTCTGATTGTGTAGTTTTTTAGAAAAATTCTCATTTGGCAGTTTTATAGCCCATTCAATTTTAGTATAACAAAGTGCAGGTTGGAAGTTGCTAAAAAACCGCGTTGATTTTTGACATTTTTCGTTTGAGGACGGTATTAAATACTTTGACCCATAAAAAAAAAAAAAATTGTCGAACGTACGGCTGAATTCCAAAACGTCAAGTGCTTTGCATACATACAAAGTATAATGTTCCATAACGCCGAACTACAAAATATTCACAATGCATACTTTTCCAAAACGCATCCGAAAAGTTATCGAGACGCATCGCTAGATCCATCAGCGTATCAGAAACAAAGTTGATGCTTCGTTTGTTATTGGTTACACCATTGGTGTTTTAAAAATGGAAAATTCAGAAAAATTGTTCATTGCTATATTGAATATTTAAATTATGCAATGTATATGGTTGCAATGTGTCGCAACTCTGCATATACATACAAACAGTTTGAATACAGCAGTATAAATGTTTCCAAACATTGTATTAATAGGTTTGTATAGTAACTTCTCCAGTAAAACATTGCAGCCAGAGCGTAAACGCAAAATAGAGCGTAAAATTGAGAAGAAGAGAAAACTAGGAGAAAAAGTTATTGAACGCAAAACTAGTAAAAACTTGCAAGTGAATAGTTGTTGCACCCTTTTGATATTCTGCTGTAAACATTTTACTATTTATAAATCAGTTTTAAACTCTTTGCTTTACATACAAGCACAGTCTAGTACATCCAGGGACGAGAACCGGATGAAAAATTTGTTTGGTTCGGTTCAGCGGGTCGAACCGTTTTTTGCACTTTTGGATTGGTTCGCCAAAGCGGTTTTTTTGGTCTTTGAACCGGGGTTTCGGTTCGGTTCAACGGTTCGAAAAAAAAAAATTATGCGCAAGTTTAAGTGTCAAGTGTCAAGTGCAACAACGCGCAAGGTTAAGGGTATGAGATGGGTTGCCTTTACATTTGATATTGTCACATGGTAAACAAACATGATGGGTATTACCATGTTTACCAAAAAGAAAAAAAAGTGAGTACATTTATCTATTGAAAATTGGTTGAGACGAACCTTTCAATCTTTATAGAAAGTGGTTCGGTTTTCGGTTCGGATCAAACATTTGTGAAAAATTTCGGTTCGGTTAATGGTTCAGTGAATTAATAGAAAAGAGCGGTTTTCCGGTTCAAAACCGGTTCGGTTCAAAACCGGTTCACGTCCCTGAGTACATCATTAATATTTTGATTTCCACTCATTTTACTTTTGTTTGTGCTTAACCAATTCAACAAATTGCGGCTTTTGACATTTATTCTTATTCTTCTGCTAGCTAATTTCTGGTAGTAAAAATTTCACTGGCAAGAATTTGCAGCTCTCCCGTGTTGTTACGCTCTCGATTCAGTGCTCTCTTGCAAATTTTTTGGGTTATCATCAGTGTTGCCGTTTTAGCCCTTTGGTAGCTAGATTTAGCTACCACATACTTTTTAGGCCACATAAATTTAAAATTGCCCCTAGTCCTTTTTTAGCCCTTTGGAGAACTTTTTCATACTTGGCATGCAAAAGTTGTATATGCTTAATTTGTTTTTTTGTTTGAATTGAATGAATGATTTTTTGAAGTTAAAAAATTGAAATTTTTTGAAGATGAATTTTTAAACTATCTTATTATATTAAACGAGCAATTCTTGTATATATGTATATATATATCCATAGGGTTCTCAAAAACGGCTCTAACGATTTTGATGAAATTTTGTAAACAGATAATGTTTTGGATTTTAAGGTTATCTGAATAGGCATTATCTCCGAGAAGACTCGTATAAGGTTGCCACCTATTCGAAATTAGTTACAAATTAATTAATACATCATAATATGGGTATCAAATGGAAAGTATTTCAAAGATCCCTAATTAAAAAATATGTTTAATAATATAATATTTTGAATCGAAAGTTTATTTAATTTTTTTTAGAAAAAGGTAAAATATTACTATTCATGGGTACCAAGATAAGTTTCTTAAACAATGCTCTCCCTATATACAATATGATATCCCT